ATAGGAGGGGCTGGCTGCAGCAACACCTCCTCTTGCACTATGATTATTACTCAATCTCTTTTTCAGCTCATTATATGGAGGAACAGAGTCAAACACAGTAGAGAAAAATCTCTCGGCCCTACATGATCCCAATGCCTCTGAAAGCAGCAGGGTGGCCAAGCACACTCCCCTGTGAGCTCTGCTCCTGACACACACAGGGGGAATTCTGTCTCCCAGGGGACAGGAGCCCCAGAGCTGCTGCTGGGCTCACAGGTGCACAAACCCCACCTCACAACCTCACAGGCAAACCTTGCAGGGAGGGGAGCTCCTTTCTTAATCCTTGAGAGAAGGAAAGAACAGCACTCCCAAAAGCCCAACTCCTGAGAGGAGCAGCGCCTGGAGCCACAGGAGCCCTCACAGCCCCATCACAGGGGTCCCCATCACACCTCCAGGGAGGGAGGTCAGTGTAGCAGCAGTTTCCCCCAGCCAGACAGGAGTCATGGGCTGATGAAGATGAATCAGGGTCTTTTAAGGCTTGAATTCATTTTCTCCTCTGCCCAAGACAAAGGGTCCTCTCCAGGGTCTCCTCTTGATGGTCTCCCCCAGCCACCCCTCCTCCAGCACCATCCCTCACACCAGATCTTCCCTTTTCCCTCCTCCAGCAGGTTTAGGAGAGAAGGCAGATAACAGGAGAGCAACTCCTCTAACAGATAACAGATAACAGGAGAGCAACTCCTCATGTTTTACCCCCTCCTGTACTGCCCCAAAACCCCTCCAGGACACACTGGGACAGACTGGTCCTAATGGGAACTTCTCCTCACCCTGATCCACAAACCAACACCGCTGCTCACACCAAAATTCCCACCTCAGGTGTCGCTGGGAAAGAGCAGGGGACGATGCCAGGCTCCTACAACACATCCCCCTCTCCCAGAGGGGAGCAGGGCCGGGTGAACCCCCCTGGATCCCCCCGGAGCAGGGGAGGAGAGGCACACCGCCCTCCGCGAGGTTTTGTGACTCCGGAGAGTTGGCAAATCCCCGGATAAAAGGGGAAATATGTTCATAATAAATAAGGCTGAAGTAACACGTTGCGAAATATTTACTCCCTCGGAAAGGCGGCGGTTTGCTTTCAGTGGAGCTGCATCTGATCCTCTGCCAAGCGGGGCTGAGCGCCTGCAAAAGAGGCTTTGCTGTGGTCGGCCAGGGAAAACCAGGTGCCCAAAAAGTGCAGGGACTGTGTGTGCACAGGCACACGTGAGCAGGAGGAAGATGGGCACAGTCCCAGGGGTCCCCAGCTCCCGAGAGCCCCACCAGTGCTTCTGTGAGCAGAGCCGGCCTGGAGATGGAACTTTAATTTTAATGCAGCTGATCAGATGTCAGTGTACAGACTGAAGGAAGGAGAATAGAGGGGAGGAAAAAAGAAAGAGGTGTTGATAAAATACTTGTTAGAAAGAAAATTGGATTAGTGGTGCCATTCTGGCCATGAAGTTCTTTGAGCCAGAGAAAAGAAATAATAATCTTGTTCCCTTTTTTCCCCGTCTCTCTGCAGCCCACTGAAGGCCTCACAGCCAAAACATCAGTCCTTCTAATCTTATTTTCTTTTTTCTAGCGTGTATTTTATTAACCCCTTTTCTCATTTAACTGCTATGAATAGCTCAGTGGGTAACATCCTTCTTAGAAAGTGAAAACCTCCTTGGAGATGAGGTGCAAGGAGAGAAATGCAGACAAACTTCCAGCTCCCGCACTCAGAAGAAAAGCCCCCTCTGTAATCCTGTCTGGTGAATCCCAACATTGTACCCCAAGGTAACTGCCAGCTCCAGGTCCTCTCTTTGGAGGAGGAACAATCAGGGAATTTATCTGGACACACCAGGAGATTGCTGCAGCTCTATAAACTCTGTGGATGTGGAGCGGAGATTAGAAAATAAATAAACGCCCTTGCTGCTTCTTGGGAAAGTGTCTGTGTGTGTGTGTGTGCATCCAGCACCCTAAAGTCAAGTCAGGCAGCTGAATTACCTTTTTACAGCTTCCCTCTAAACCAGCTTTCCTTTACAGCTTCCTTTGCCAGCTCTCAGTCACATACAGTGAAATTCCCAGTATGGACTGGGATGCTCATGGGACTGAGCCCAGCGCTCCTGTGCCTGGGCTGGGGGCTCTGGGCCAGGCATGTCCTGCTGCTGGCACAGGGGCTCCAGTGGCCTTATCCCACCAGCCCAAAGCAAGGCTGGATTTCTCCTCTCACACCCACTGCAGGATTTTGTGTCCCAAGTAAGACATGGGATGTCTGGAAGCTCAGGACCAGCTTTCCCACAGCGATATCAATGTGGCCAAAAGGGGAGAAAAACCATAATTAAAACATCAAATGCAAAGGAGACAGTCCTGCCCTGAGCTGCTGTAAGTGGGAACAGAGATTTGGCCTCTCCATAAAAGAAAATACCAGCCCCAGCGAGCTTGGCTGCTGCCTCCTTCCCTGTGAGCAGCAAACCTTCCTGGGAGAGGAGCGGGATCCAGCCCCACGCGATATTGGTGTGTTATTTTCCTTGACAGCTGTGGTGCATAGTGGTAAGTGCATGTTTAATTCATTCACAATTTATGGTGTAATGAGAACAATGAATGTGTCTGAGGGAATAATTGCTTCACGGCGGGGATGCTGGAGAGTTCAAGTTGGTTGGCACCTGGACTTTGAATCGGGGCTGCCGGGGATTGGCTCCGGCGGCCCCACAATAGCCCCGATAACAAAGCTGTGGGGACGGGGAGGGGGTTCAAAGTCACCCCGGCCGAGCTGCAGCAGCCTCCCGATGGCAGGGGTTGGATCCCAGCCCCGTTAGACCTGTCTGGCCCCAGTTACTGCGCACCCAGGGAGGTTTGTGCATGTGGGAGCTGCTTTCCCAGCCCGTGTTTACAAGGGAATTCTGCTGCGCTGCAAATCCCTGGAAAACCAGCGCTTCCCCCACCTCCCTCTAGGACCTTTTCACTGCTTGGTCCTGGCTGTGTCTGCCAAACCCTCCTTTTGTTGGGGTGTGGAGAGGGGGTTGACCCTTTCCAGTGTCCTCAGCAGCCACATGGAGTTTCAGAGGCCTCAGAGGTCAAGAGCATCCATATGGAGGGCCCAGGAGCTCCGTGCGTCTCCCAGCTGTCCCCACGGCAGCTGTGCTTGCAGCCCCCAAACAAAGCTCATTAGGGGGCTTGCTAGGACACTCAGGGGGTGCTCTGAGCTGTCCTGGAAGAGCCCTGGAATCACAGCACTCCCAGGAGTGGGCACCACATTTGGCTCCACGTATGAGCAGCTCCCATCCATCAGATTGGGAGCAGGGAGATCCCGTTATCCATCACGGGCTCTGTCCCACACCGCTCAGTGGGGCAAGACTTTGAGCCAAAGAGATGCCAACAAATCATCCCTCAAGCCTTGGTTCATGCAGGGGGGTCTGCAGCAGCCCCCTCCACAGCTCCCAGCTCTTGGCACCCAGCGGAAATGCAAATGTGATTTCTCGAACAGATGTGCCAAAGCATGAGCAACAAATCTTCCATGCCTCAAATCCACCCCAAGGAGATCAACAGTCAAGATGGGGCTCTTGGACCCAGCATCAGCTCTGGGGGAACAGGCTGTGAGGAGCTGTGAGACTGATGCTGTTATTAATTATTACACCATTATATTGGGGAGCTGTGCTAGAGACCATCAGCCCTCGAGCTTTTCCATACATGGACCGTGCAGGATGGAGCTGGGTCCCTGTTCTCCTTCTCCAGATGGGAATGCCACGTGCTGGGGATGGGTTTGCCTTGGACAGCTTTCAGAAATGCTGAGCTGAGAGCCCTGCTACACATTAGCTCCCATGCAAAGATGTTTTGAACACGTATGTAACACTTGGGACTAAATGGAGGCTGCTTTTAGCTGGGACAACATCTGGGTATGAGCAGATGCGGGCCAAGCTGGTGAGCAAATCACTTCAAGAGCTTTCCTTTAGGGATTGAAGGCATTTTTCCATGGGGTTAAGTGGTTTAGGTGCATAAAGTGGAAGGACACCTAATTAAGATTAAAAAGATCAAGGCTTTAGGCTGCTGTGTCCCCTCAGAAACATCCCACCTATCCACACGGTGGAAGCAGCCACAGCTGGGAGTGGAAGACAGAGCTTAGAAGCATACAGAAACATGAATTTGTAGTCCTGACAGAGAACCTTGTTTTATCCCATCTACTCTGAGGTTAAACACGATGTTCTGTCAAGCCACACACGGAGGAAAACACGCTTTGGCAGCGGCGCCTCGCTCGCGTAACCGCGTTAAACACGGCACAGCTCCACAGGCCGAGATCGCATCGAGAGCAGAGGCTCCCGACTTTCATCTGTGCTCAGGAACATCCAGCAGGCAGCTCTGCTGTAAATACATCACTCCCCTGTCCCCCCTGAAATGCTCTGCCTTGTCACTGCCCTGCCCTGACACTGCTCTGCCTGGCAGGGAGAATAACAGAGCAGAGCGCTTACAGAGGGACCAGCCACGTCTTCACCTCTCCACGGGCAAGAAAGGGTTAAACCCAGAGGTGACTGCAGATGCGAAATGTGAATTTCACCGGGGTTCACACCTTGTCCCCCTGCTCCATCCCTGAGTCCCCGAAGTCCCATCCCTGCAGGAGGATGCAGAGCCGCCCCATCCCAGTCTCCAGCACAGCCCAGATGACAGGACAGGATACAAATAAACCCACCCATAATTGCACATCGTTAATTACCGAGGGTGTTTGGGTTTCTTGGAGAACATTAGGTTGTGAAGACGCTCAATCAAAGAGCCCTTGGGGCATTTAAATCAAGGCAAAGCATCAAAACCCGAGCGCTGTTTTGAAAACACAGCTTCAAATGCGGCGGGGGGAGGAAAGGCTTTTCCCCCTCCTGCCCGGCAAGGAACGCACCCGGGACAGCTCCTGCCTCCCAAACCGGGGGCAAAGGCTGTGACCTCGGGGTACAACATCTGCAGGAGCCTCCTGGGACTCCCAGCACTGCTCCCAGGGTGATTCCAGCCAGGCTTTAACCACAGGCACTCACCGAGGTGTTTCCTCCGCTGGCTTTTCCCTGCTCTTCTCCCAAACCCAACCTTTTGTGCCCCAGCAGGGCGGATCTGAGCTTGCCCCTGCACAGAACTGGTTTCCACCATCCTGGGAACAATTAGGAGAAGAATCAACTTAGGGAGAATCTTCTGTTAAAAAAAAAAAATAAATTGTGACTGATGACTGCAACCTCTGGAAATATTTTTAGCTGTGCTGGCCTATGTATAATACATAACTATGCTTTTATAATGATGGAACAGTGCTGCAGGTGAGGTGTGCAAAGAGGGAGTGAAAACAGCAAAAAGTGACACCAAAAAGTAATAATCACAAATTAAAAAGAGAAGGTAATTAGTAACACCAAATTCAGGGGAGGAATTTCTGATCACAGTCAGGAACAAAGATTTCAGTAATATTTACATAGTAGTTCTTTTTCTAACAGAGATGATCTTTTTCAGCCAAACCCACTGTATTTAAAGCAGAAAAGATGCTCAGTGACAGTCTGACTGTATGAAAACTGTCTCTGTAAAATTTAGGTGAGAGATTTAGACGGGCTCTGGATTAAAGGAATCAGTCAGACTGAGAAATCCCTTTCTAAAAACTCTTGCTCTGGGAGAAGAGAGCTCAGCTGTGGTCCTGAGACTCACTGCCACACCTTCAGTGCCATCTAAACCTCAGTGAACGAGTCCTGCACTCTCCAGCACTTCCCAGTGAACAGCCAGGGGTGGTCTCACATCCTTGATTTCAGCCCAGGATCACTTCCACAACAGATTTCCTATGGATTCCAGGGTTAGAGTTCTAATGAATTCCTTGAATCCTTTCTTTGGGTAAAACTGGACAAAGTTGACTTCAGTGTAAGAGAATTAGGACTCACAACCTTATTTTGAAAAGATGGTCAGCTCTGCCTGGTATTAAACTTTTATATGAGGTTTCAATGGGAGAAGATTCCTAAAGTATAAATCTTGAATAGATTTTATAAAGGTGGAAGTATTGTTACAACATCACTGCCCAGCTGAGATAAAGGTGTTCCTTCACTTTGCTCATTCTACCAACACACATTTCCTTGTTTTCAGCCCCCAGTACTGAGGCTGAATCAGGTGTTGCCATGTTTAAAGCCCATCTCCATTCCCACTAAGCTGTATGCCCACTGAGCATTTGAAACAAACAGGCTTTTGGGACCCAGCTCTGCAGATAAAATTGTTTTAGAGAGCTGCTCAAAGGAGGTGTCAGCTGTAAATCCTCCTTGTGTGAAGGTGGGCTCTGTGTCCACCTTCCCAAGAGTCTGCTGGAAATACTGCCCTGAATATTGGACATATCTGGGTTGAAAGTTAAGGTTTCCTATTAGAAGATGGATTAGGAAAGAAAACATCTCTTCTCCCAAGGATGCCTGAAAGGAAGCAAAGCTCTTATGACCTGTAGCCATAAATTCATGGCATGAACTATCCCACAGTTCATAAAGGGATGAAAAGAGATTGGGATTAGGGATGGCAGAACAAGGGCACGACACAGTCTCCACTCTTTTTGTTCCCTGCTTCTCTGTCAGTGAAGGAGAGACCAACTGTGGCAGCAAATGGTAAATAAATGATATTTTATCCAGGGGCTTGCCTTATTTACATTATGCATAATGCAGATAACAGCACAGAGCTGTGTATAAGTGCTACAAACTGCTCCCACATGCAGCACACTCCCTCTTCCTCTCACACAAGATATGTTTTTACAGGATCAGACCCTCATTCAGTTCTTTCAATGCTTTTTTTCACAATTTTTTTTTTCCAATTTAGGGAATAAAAGTTTTATTTAATTATCTTTTTTTTTCTTTTTTTTTTCCTTTTTTTTTTGTGGTTTGAATTGACCAACTGCATATCTTCCCTTGGCTTTATCAAAGAAACCACCAGTACCAGAGCACATCTAATTTTAAGAGGGCTTTAGTAGGCAGACTTAAAATTGATCATGCATTTTAGTTTCAGTAACTTGCAATTTCTGCCTGCTTTGATAGCACACTTTAAAGAACAAGTCTTTAATGACAAAGGCTTAAAGGAAATGACCTTTCTGAAGAAAATATCAAAGCTTGGAAAAGATAGCTCCTTGGAAAAAAAAAAAGGCTGAATTAAAATGACCTTGTGTTCTGAAACTTCTTCATACAATATCTGACGTCTTACTTTTCCTTTGTACCCTCCAAAGGGGACCAAGGATAATTTAGCAGTGTGGTGCCTCCAGTCCATTCTGTGATTTGGGGAGGACTTGCAGTGCAGTAAGAGAATTTAAAAAAGAAAAATAAAAATCAGATCCTACAGAGATTCTCTATCAAGACCTCTCGGCATCAGGATCAAAGCTGTGCACGTTTTCCAGAAAATTCAATAAATATTTTCTTCTAATCACTATAAAATATTTTTTTTCTGTGCAGCAAAATAATTTCTCAGTTTGAAACCACCACAGTCAGGAGAGATTTGGGCAAGCACCAGGAGAGCCTGCTGTCCCCAGCACAATTAAAGCTCTGTTGCAGATGCAAGCAGAAGGAGGGACCTTGTATCCCTTTTCTCCCAGCTGGGCCAAAAAGGAGCATTTTTGTTCCATGTAACACAAGAACTGTGAGTGGCACTGAAATAAAGTGTCACCTTGATAAGGGTCACCTCCCTTGCTACTGGTGAGAAATGTTATGGTGACTTTTTTGGGGGGGGTTTACAGGGGATGAGACAATCTTCTCTCACGGAGCAAAATTGGTGAATTAAATAAATATAAAATACAAACAACTGAACCACACTGAAGCTGGTTTGGCCAGAGCTTGGTTAGGGACAACAAAGCCAACTCCTGGCAGCTGGCAATTCCTTACCAATCGGGGTGAGAGAGGCAGAAAACAAGAAATAACTGTGGAAATCTTTATAATCCTTCAGCTTGGACTGTAATTATTACTTGTTACAAAAATGTTCAGTTAACAACTACAAGAGAATTCCACCTAAACTTATATTTAAATTCTTACAAGGTTCATAAGCAGCTTCAAAGTGGTCCTCAAGCTGTAGCTGCTGCTGGAGAGTTTCACATGGGTTTTGAAACCCCCTGATTGACCAACATTTATCTTTCTCAAACTGCTTTATGACCATCAGCAACATCAGAAACCCAATTCCACCAAAAAGAAGGAAATTCAGGAATTCAAGTGGCGAGAAGAGTGTCCATGTGTTTCTTTATGGATGTTTCCTGATGTCAAAAGCACTAAACCCACAGGGATTTAATGCAAAAACACCAGCAGAGAAGCAGAATCAAAGATGCCTCATTTCCCTCAAGCATCAGAGTTGTCACTGTCCCCATCTCTGCCATCTGGACACGAGGCCATGTGCAGTGGGTACATCCCAGTGCCCACAGCCTGCTCCTCCTGCAGAGCCCAGCCACCGCTGCCCTGCACTTTTCAGGGGAAAAACATTTTACTGCCCACAATTGGCTCAATGCATCCCAACAATTCCTGCTCCTGCATCTCCCAGTTCCCCCAGGCCAGGCTTTGTGGCACCTGCCGCAGCACCTCCTCCTTTATCAGAGAAGCCTTATCTGTAATTAGAAGAATCACTTGTTGATTCAAGGAAGGTGCAAAACCTGCCCAGGCCCTGACTGGGCTGACAAGCAGCGCAGCAGCCGGAGCTGGAGCTGGGTTTGGCACGGAGCACACCGGCACTGCCAGGAGGAGGGGTGGATGGAGCCAGCCTGCCAAAGCCTCTCCTCCTTGATCTCAGTGCCAGGAGAAGATAAGAGCCCAGCTGGTGAGCTGGGACTTGGCAGCACAGCCACCTCCACCATGGCACTCAAGGGAGCGGGAGCCTCCAAACTGCGGTGTGGGAGTACTGGTGACACTGGTGAGGTGGGAGAGGTGGCCATCCCCACCAGCAGGGCCTCCCTGGTGCTGCCAGGGCCACAGCTGCACTTGGAACAGGAATTCCTGGTCCCTTCTCAAGCACTTTGCCTTGATCCCAACACCACCAGCAGGACGGTGCCCAGGAAAACCAAAGCCATTCTCATGCCAAATGCACACATTCCAAAGGCTGCAAGGGCTGGAGACAGCAGCACTGCTCCACGGACGGGAGTCAGGGCCAGCCTGAGACCAGCTCCTTCAGCTTCCCATCGCCCCTCAAACCCCATCCCAGAAAACCCTCTGGGATCCTCTCAGACTCCCCGGGATCGGCACGCAGGCCGTATCACTCGTGACTCCTTTCCAGCAACACCCATGGCTGTGTTAGCAGCCCATGAGCAAGGAATTCATTCCCTTTTCCCAGAGTATCCAACCCCACCGACAGCCAGAGCTGCCTGCAGTGCCACCAAGCTGCTCTCATCCCTTGAAACACAGCACACATTCCCACTTTACAAAACCACACAAAACTCCCCTGGCTACTGAGGTGAGTGAGATGCTCAAGCAGGACAATAATGTCAAAACAAAAAGATAAGAAAATAAGAATATTTTAATATTATGTAAACACATGGACACAGAACAATGTTAAAATATGTTGAAATATCTTGGGCAATAATAATAGAAAATGGGATTTTCTTCATGTTTAGAAGTGAAAAAGATGGTATTGGAAAAGAGTAACAAAAATATCAGTAGAGCAAAGTCTACTTGCTCGGTAAGCGAGCTCAGCACGGTGTCAAACCATGTATCAAAAGCATAAATCTGTAATAAAATAATGATAAAAAAAATAATGGAAGGAAGATACAACAAAATCCAGGCTGGCATGAGCTATGAATATGTTTTCATGAAGTTCATTTTTTTGTGCTAACAAAAGAACCACTAATCTTTGCATTAAAATTTACAAGAGCCAAATCTTCAAACCTATTCAAAGCAGTCCATTTGGCAATCACAGAGATCCCACAATCCATCAATGGTTACCTGAAAAGGAAGAGATTTCTGTCAGTTATACCTCATTATTTTTATTATAAAAACACAACATGCTGAAAGCAGAGCTGGGTCCAGTGGGCAGCAGTTCTGGAGCTTTCTATTTATCTAACAAAGTTACCTATGCTGGACTTATTACCAAGATCTATGACATTTTCAGTTTCCAGTTAGCTTTAGCTAATTCCTGTTAACAAATAATTTAGGATTAATATTTTCACACGACTCTCACACCGTTAA